ACAAACCCCTACCCTGGAGCATACAAATCCATCGAGCCTGGGCATGACAGATGTTGTCCCAACTTGTGGCTACAACTCAAGAAGTATGTAGGCAGGCTCAATATCCATAATAGACTAGTCTATAGCTGTGTGTCTTGCTATTCTCCTGACTCCCTCTCTCTGCATCTTTGACTCTGTACACACTCCCCCATCTGGTGTCTAAGAAGGGTCACCCAAACAGGTTATGGCCTACCATTAGATTGTCTACTGAAGAAATCAGTAATTTGTTTCAAATTTTGCAAGGTGACTGGGGTTTAAGCAGCCCAAGACATTTAACAGATGAAGAAGAGAGGGAGCTGACCCAAGTAGAACAAAAAAGTCAAAAATGCTTATACTGATTGATTAAATACCTCAGCTGAGGATATTTTGGTATTTTTTTCTTCTACCCATTCCCGTATGTACTTACTATGTGAAGGGAAGATAATATTTTAGAATGGATATTTTTAGCTCATAAACAGAGTAAAAAGTTAAAGGCCTATTATAGAAAGGGTTTCTGAACTAATTATAAAAGGAAGAATAAGACTTTGTCAATTGTCAGTAATGGATCTGGCTGAGGTTGTAGTGCCTCATACTAATACTGAAATTATGCAGTTATGAATTATTAATGGTGACTGACAAAAGGCCTGCAGTAATTACTTAGGACACATCAATAATAAATACCCCAATATAAATGACTTCGGTTAATAAAAAGAGCTGAATGGATTCTTCCCAGCACAGTGAAAGAACATCCATTTCTGAGGCTCTTCCATTCTATACTGACACAAATCAATTAGAAATGCCCGGGTACAAGGCAGGAATCATAAGTAAAGCAGTTCAAAGTCCATATGCTTCACTTCAAAAATCAGAGTTGTGTGCTCTTCTAATGGTTTCATTGGACGTTAATGAATCTCATCAGGCCTCTGCCTCTGAAGTGCTGGGATTAAAGGCTGGGAAGAAACTCTGGCACTTCAGGGTTCTTGATCTCTACAACCTCATCACATTACTTCACTTTAACTCACATGTTTGTTTTCACCATAGTCGGAAAGGCGCGAAACCAAGGCCAGAGCAGGAAGAGAACAAAAAGTAGTGGGCGAGGCTGGAGAAATGCGCGGTGGAGACCCTGACCTCACAGGGGACTCAGTTCTGGTTCCCAGCACCCGTGTGGTGGTAACTCCAGCTCCAGGGGATCTGATGTCCTTTTCTGACCTCTGTAGGCGTGTGGTACACGTGCAAGCCAAACACTCCTATAAATAATGTCAAATGTTGTTAAAAAGGCGATAGAGAAAGCCTTTCATTTGTGTGAGCATCGATGGGTCCGGGGTGCAGGTCTGAAACAAACATCAATCACTGTTTCCCAGAAGCTGCAGGTCGGGGTGGGGTGTTGAAGACTGTTAAGAGAGTAGGACCCACCTGTTCTGAGGTTGCACGGGTCCCAAATGGTGAAGGAGAGACGAGGCCAACAGCTTCCCCAGCCTCCTGGAAGAGTTAATTTGCTCTAAGAAAACCAGCTAGTTCTGGACAAGAGTAAAGAGCCTGCTGCCTCACATCCTCATCCCTGTCTGGAATGTTCTGGAGCTTATTTGCCTTCCTACTCAGGCTGTGTGCACTCGTTTTGACTGTATCCCTCAAGCGCTCCCTGCATCTTCACCCCCGCATCCTTTTCAGATCCATCCAGTCACTGTAGTCCAATCCTGTGCTAGAAAAGCTGTGACTCAGGCCAGTTCAGTGGAGCCGTGGTCGGCGGGTGGGCAAGGCTGCATCTCAGGGAGCTGGACCATTGGATGGAAAGGCATCTACCTGCTCTGCTTTCAAAGGCACAAGGGTTGCAACACTGAAGGGCTCTGGAGGGCAGCTGAGGTCTGGCCCCTGGTGTCAGGAGCTGAGTCTCTGAAGAAAGGTGAAGGGGTAGCTTAAGTTGCAGTGGCGATCCCAAGATATGGAGGTGTGAAAAACATGGGAAGTCCTGTCTCTTACTTCAAGAGGGCCCAGTCACAGTTTGGACAAAGCAAATACAAGCTCTAACAGGGTAAATACCTCAGTGTCCAGTGCCTGGGGTTCACTCTGGCCCTTCTGGGCTCCTCCAAAGGGCTTGGGTCACTTCTCTGGTTCTGCTCCCTGCAGCACACACAGCTCATCTTCTAGGCTCAAGTTGGCTCCACGCCACAGCTGCTGCCCTTCTCCCTGGTTGTCCTATGATACTAGCACCTTGAAAATGCTGGGGTCTCTGCTGCAACTGGGCTGCACTTTCAGAAATAATTTCTCCTGGGCTCCCTTCAGAAACTCCAACCCTGCCACAGAGTGCCAAGGCCAGGGGCTCTCCATGATCCCTATGTCCCTTCAAAGCCAGCACCACCTGGGTGACTTACACTACTACCAAGTTTTCACAGCACAAGCTTCTACCTTGGCCTGGTGGTGACAGCACAAGCCTTTAATCCCAGCACTCAGTAGGCAGAGACATGTGCATCTCCGGGTTCAAGACCAGCCTGGTCTGCAAAGTGAGTTCCCTAACAGCCAGGACTGTTACACAGAGAAACCCTGCCTCAGACAAAAACAAAGGAAAAGCATCAATAACCAAGGTTCTACCTTGGCTGCCTCTAGAACACGCTTCTGTGCACTGACTCAGGAAATAATTCCCAAAAAGTTCGCCTCAGTGATGCTGGTCTCTTCCTGTTTTTGTTCTTGTTGTTGCTTGTGTGTTGGGTTTTTTTTTTTTTTTTTTTGCAGCAGCGTTTCTCTGTGTAACAAGATTGGCTGTCCTAGAACTAGCTTTGTAGACTAGACTGGTTTTGAACTCAGTATCTGCCAACCTAGTCTCCCAAGTACTGGGATTAAAGATGTATGCCACCACTGCCCAACAAATCTTGGTTTCTTAAAGTGACCAGCTTGTTAAAGAGACAGGTTATTGGTGGAGAACGTGAATAAAGTAATCCCACACTAACTCCAAATTAGGTCTAATAAGGGGATCTTCATGAAAAGGGGGACTCACAGATCACAGACCTCTGCATGAGCGGGGAACAGGAACCGAATCCAGCATCCAGGTGAGAGAGAGAGAGAGGTGAAAGAATGGGAATGTACCTCTTTGGTACCCAGGGTTATGCCCAACCTGATCCAGCCTCTCAAAGGTCATTGACTGAAGGAAGATCCCTGGTAGGTTATGATCTCGTGTGTGTGTGTGTGTGTGTGTGTGTGTGTGTGTGTGTTTTGCACATGTATACTTGGGCCCCACAGGGCTTGTGTGGAAGTCAGAGGGCATCTTGTGGGAGTTATTCTTTCCTTCCTTCATGTGGCTCCTGGGGTCAAACTCTGATGTCCTCAGGCTTCAGGGTGAGCACTTTACCCATGAGCTGTCTCTCCAGCCCTGCGCCACACTGTAACTCCGTGATCATGAAGTTCACTTCTTTGGCTTGTGGAATCTTAACACTGGTGTAGCTCTCCCCACTTTACCCCCAAATTTGAGAACTTTTGTTGACCCAGGGAAAGAGCTGACAGACCAAAAAGACAAAAGCTTTGAAGTCCAATTTGGTAAATTCATGAGTTCACTGGGTTGTTTGCAGGAGCAAGGGCAATTCACAAAAAGATCCCCATCTGGAAGTCACAAGAAGATCCACATCTGGAATCTCATTCCTGGTCGGTTTTTGTGCGGGGGGGGGGGGCGGGGGGGGGGGGTTTCAAGATAATTTTTCTTAGCCTAAGAGCCTGTCCTGGAACTAGCTCTTGTAGACCAGGCTGGCCTCAAACTCACAGAAATCAGCCTGTCTCTGTCTCCCTCGTGCTGGGGTTAAAAGTGTGTGACATCACCACTCAGCTCTGCTGGTCAGATTTTAACCCCTTGTAGACTTTCACGTTTCCTTTTTGTTTTAGGACACAGTCTGTGTAGCCTGGGATTCCATCAAGCTCACTGTATAGCTGAGGCTGGTCTTGAGCTCCTGACCCAACACTCCCAGTTTTACTTCAGAGTTCCAATTGGATATATAGCTGGGGGAGAGCAGGAGGTGGTCTTATCCCACCTGTACAGAAGGAATGTGAACAGCCCTACCACCAGAGACCTTGTTGTTACCTATATATAGTTTATTTTGTTCCATTGGTGACCACAGTTGGCTCTGCTTCCTGGTGGCAGTGGTCATGGCAGGCCTAGAATAAAAAGGCACACCACAGTTTCCCACACTACTTATTCACTGGGGACAGGCTAAGGAGTTTGATGAGGTCCAGGCAACCAAGTCTGAGGCCAGGAGGTTGAGGAGAATTCAAAGAGCTGAAGGCAGACGAGACTTGCTTTATATACCGGAACACAGGTCTTACACACACGCAAAGGCAAAGGACAACAGGCCAAGGCACACGCCAGTGATAATGATGACCCATTTACACAACATTCACCCAAAAGTAACATTCTGCACATTAATTATATCACTCTTTACTCGGGGCTCTCCAGGAATCCGGGGTCAGCTTTCATTTGATCCCTGGAGTTCCGGGATGTCCTAGCGCCCCTTACTCACTCCTGACGTCTCTTTTGTCTCTCTAACCTTACTGGTCCCGTGCCGCTCTTGCCTACAGGAATTTTTGAGCAAATAAGCAGATGACATGTGCACATCTCTAATTGGGAGTCTGAGGCAGGAGGATGCCTCGGGCCCCAGAATTTGAAGCCAGTTTAAGTATGTCAAAACAAACAAACAAGCAAAAGCAAGCATGCCTCCTCTAGCCTATGACACAGACAGCGGATAGGCTGACTGCAGCTCCACAGGTCTCAACGTGCTGGCCCCACACTGAGGGATCACGGAACACCGACTATGTGCCCGAGTGCAGTTCTCTATCAGGAGTCCACCACAAGGCGGTACTGCATAGTGACCAGTGTCCCAGGGTGCACACAGTGGAGACGATGTAACCTTCCAAAGGAGGAACTTTGCAGTGGGTTCCCAGATAGACCTACTGGCTGCCCGTCAGAGAAGATTCCAGACAAATGCTTGATTCCTTTAAAACGACTTTTATTAAGGAACACGGGACAAGAGGAACAGAATTGACATGCAGGGAACAGGTGACACAGGGGCCTGAGGGTCAGAGTAGACAATACAAAGGGTCTTGAGGACATTCTGTGCAAGACGTTAGGGGACGGCAGGCTCTGCACTGTTACCTACGCCTGTTTGGATGGCTTCAGTTGAGTAATGTTTCTTGAATTCTCATAAAGCAGAGTGTAGTGTCTGGCTCGGCATAAATGACAAAGACACGAAAATTTTCCTTCAACTGAACTGTAGCATAACAAACTTAAGCATGGCATTAAATTTTTCTTTTTGCTTCTTTATGAAATCCTGGATTTTGAGCCAAATCCGTTTTAGAATTCCAGGCTTATCATGGCTCTTCTGGTTGTCCTTGGCTTGTTCCTCTTCGGTCTGGTCTTTGTTCTGATCCTGGTCTTTGTTCTGATCCTTAGCTGGGGTGCCCTCAGCCTGGCCTGGGATCTCCTCAGCCTGGCCTGGGATCTCTTCAGCCTGGCCTGGGATCTCCTCAGCCGGGTCTATGATCTCCTCAGCCTGGTCTACGATCTCCTCAACCTTGGTTAGCATCTCCTCAGCTTGGCCTGGGATCTCCTTAGCCAGGTCTATGATCTCCTCAGCCTGGTCTACAATCTCCTCAACCTTGGCTAGCACCTCCTCAGCCTGGGCTCTGATCATCTGAGACTGGACTTGGGTCAACTGACTTTGGACTAGGATCGTACTAGCCTGTCTTAGGATCTCCTCAGCCTGGGCTAGGATCTCCTCAGTCTGGGCTCTGTTCAACTCCGCCTGGACATGGATGTCCTCGGCCTGGGCTAGGATCTTCTCAGCTTCAGTTCTGGTCTCCACTTCCCCAGTGATGTCAGACAGACTCTGGTAGGAAGAGATCACAAGGTTTAAAGCCGGGATCTTCACTTTGGTTCCCCAAACCCTCTTTCCAGACCTCATAATCCCCTTAAATGGCACCAGCTAGGATTACAGGCTAGTTAGCCTGGGATCCCTGCCCTGTTCTCAATGTGCTGTAGTGTGTGGACACCTCCATCAGTCTCCATGACTTTCTTCTGTGTCCCATAACCTAGCATGGCTGCAAACTGAGAAGTTCGTGAGCTGCAGGAGTCTGTGCGTGACGCATGGGCAAGCCTGAGAACGCAGCTTCCTCACTGAGCCGGGACAACTTTCTCCAACCAAAGAACAGGAGTAGGAGGCTGAGGCTGTTGGGACATAAACCTAGAATCTGAGGGCAAATTCAACAGTCTGGTACCTTATGTTTCTTTGTTAAATTGATTCTATACTTTTTTTGAGACTGTTACTTTCCTGAATTGACTCTGTAGACCAGCTTGCTTAGGGTTTACAGTCACCTTCCTGCCTCAGCATTCAGAATTCAGGAATTACAGGAGAGAGTCAGTAAGTACCTGCTCTACATAGCCAATTTTTGCTGTAGACAAAAGAATCCTGTCTTTCTTCTCTCTCTCTCTCTCTCTCTCTCTCTCTCTCTCTCTCTCACTTTTCACATCTGTGTTGTCTCACAGTGAAGCTCTGGCTTGCCTGAAACTCATTATGTAGACCTGGCTGACTTTGAGTTCACAGCTGCCTGCCACTGCCCCCCGAGTTGTAGGATTAAAGAGGCATGCCACCACATCTGGGCTGCCAAGGGTGTTTATCAAAGCATCTGTCTAAATACAGATGTGAATGTGATGAGACACAGAGGTGGGATCATGCTGCCAGATCCTCCTTCTTCTTGGGCGCCAGGAGGGCCAGAACCTCCTCAGCACCACAGAAGGACAAGGGTCAACAGTACTCTGGAGCCACTTGCAGAACAGCCTTGCCAATGTGCACCTTCGCTGTCCCAGGGATCGTCTTTTACCTGTGGAAATAGGAAGCACTCTGCTCCTTCTGTGACCTTTGCCACCCTCCAGCCTGTCCTACAGATGCCACTGCACAGAAACTTGTGATGAGCATCTCCAGATGTGCCGGCTCAGATCGCTTCCAAGACCCCGGAATCTAGCACCCCGACCAGCGATGTTTGGAACAATCTCTGCATCTTATCCCCAAAGATTACCTGCAGCCTCTGAGTCTCTGGATTCGCAGCCTCTGGAAAGCTGTCGGAGAAACCTTGGTGTCTGTGTTTTTCAGGCTGCTCCACATCTGAGGAGAGGGAAGGAGAGTCCTGTGGGAAGAGAGACTGCTCAGGGCCAATGGCTCAAGTTGCTAAGCCCAGGGTCTGACTCTCCGGGTCCTGAACCTCCTGAGGCCACCTCACATCTGTGAGTGTTGTGGGGAGAGAGGTCAGAATCCTGAGCACAGTCCCACAGACACACAGCCCTTTCCTAGGGTCCCTGTCCTAAATTTCCCTCTTCAAGAGGCCAGAGCTCACTGGACATGAGAGTCCACACACAGGGCTGACTTTCAGTTTGCATTTAGACAGAGGACCTGTGTTGGAGAGGAGGGCATTGCTCTCCCTTTTTGTGGAGCAGTGATGGAAATCAGGCCAGCTGGGAACTTACTATGGAGCCAGCCTGGTCTTGAAACCACGGAAGTCCTGCCTCAGTCACGGGTGCACTGTGATCACAAGTGAGTCCAGCCACACTCAGAACAAGGGATCATTTTTTCCAGTGGGGACAAATGACCTGGTAAGTAACTGACCAGTCTGTCCTCTATCCTCATTTTCTTTTCTTCTTTCTTTTTCTTTTTCTTTTTTCTGTGTGTGTGTGTGTGTGTTTTGTTTGTTTTTGAGACAGGCTCTCTCTGTGTAGCATTTCCTGTTCAGGAACTCACTCTCTAGACCAGGCTGTACTTGAAATCATAGAGATCCGACAGCCTTTGCCTCCCAAGTGCTGGGATTGAAGGTGTGCGCCATCACCACCAAGCTATTCTCATTTGTTAACTCTATTCCTGCTGGTCATCCGGTGTAACTCAGTTCCTTTTCTCAACCTCAGACAATCACGCCCCAGTCCTCCAGTCTAGAATTATCCCTGTCTGGAGTGTGTTCCATATTTGTGACCAACTATTTCTGCTTGACAAGGTTCCAGCATTTTGATTTGGGGATCGTTGTTCTCCAATGCCCTTTCACTTTCGTTCCTACTGATTCCACTGTGTGTTATGGGAATTCCCTTACACAATTTCCTTTGGGAAATTTTGTTTGGACTTGAAGGATAAAGATATATAAAATGGCAGGCTCTCTAAACAAAAGACTTTCTTGGAAAAAAAAAACCCACCGCTCTAGAACCACAAAGTGTGATAACTGTCTACTCCTGTACAAGTTAACCCCAGGCTGCTAGAAAATTTAGATAAATAACATTTGCTTGATGAATAAGGCATATTTGATAATCAGGACTTATAAATTCTAAAGGTCTTCTCAGGTTTACAGAAATATATATCTGGCCTCATCTTTGCTCACTTTTAAGCTTTTGTTAATTGGATAAACTAAGCCACACAAAAGGTGCCATATTCTATAATATCATATTCTTTAATCTTGTCTGATCTCCCAAGAGAGTCCTTTTTTTCCAAGGTCAGGCATTTAGACAAAAAAAATCACATTCTTTCAGAGGCTAGAAGAAAGTTAGTGTTTGCTAATAAAAAGGAGACTTTCCTATCTCTGGCAAGAGGAACTTTGACCCTTCATTAATATGTAAGTTGTCAAAGTCAACACTAGCGTTCTCCATCCCTGGTCCCAAGCCACACTGCAGTCCACATCCCCCTTTCTCCTGTTTAATCCTATGTGCAACTATAGAGTATAAACGGTGTAGTCTTTCCTTAAGAAACGCGCGGAACGCCATCCCGATTCACCCTCAGATTCTTTTGAGTCTCCACCTTCCCCCCAGCTGACTCCACATCCTCCTTGGGACCAGAACACCCGCCAAAGCTGGGCTCCAGCAGTTAGGACAGGACAGTGACAGCAGAGCAGTCGCCAGGTGAGCAGCACATCTGGAGAGACTCATTAGTCTCCTGACTAAAGAGTGGGCTTTGTCCAAGGAGAACTGAGGGAGACAACACCCAGCCCACTACCTCCTCTCACTCACCTCAGTGCCACCCATAGCTCAGCAAGGGTCAGGGTCGAAGCCTGTTTGAGAGGAACAGAGGAGGGGACATGCATTAGTAACTTCCTGGACACTAGCCCAGAGAGTCATGGACCTCAGGAATGGAGGCCCAACTCCCTCTAGTAGGATGTCTGCTACTGACCTTGTCCGCAGGGTTCTGATCTCCACTAAGACTGTCACCTTCCCCTTCTTGTCCTCCCAGTGCAAAGGGTGGCTGATGTCTGCCTGGAAGGAAGACCCTGGCTGTTCTGATTCCAGAGGAGGGAAGAAGGAAAGGTGGAGCTTCTCTGGGTAGGAAATTCCCTCAGAGGAGAAAAAGTGGAAGGGGAAGGGAAAGTGAAACAGACAGAAGCACACTGAAGCAGATTGAAGACAAGAGAGGCACCTTGACCCACTACAGAGGCCAGGAAACTGAGTCAGAGCACAGGGGCTCACCCCTCTTCAGGGCAGCAGGGAAAGATGGGGATATAGCTGAATTCAGACTGCTTTCTTTAGTGTGGGACACACAGTGTGCTGTCCCCGTGCTGAAAAGAAACAAGAAAAAGGGTGTGTGGGTCAGAGGGAAAACCTAACCAGGTATGTGCAAGGGCACTGCACCCTTCTAGAACCCTGAGGAGCTCTTGCTGCAGCTGATGGATGAGGAGAGGAGGCAGAACCTGTCAGGCACTGGAGTAGACCTTTGGGGCTAGAGGTCTGGGAGGCTGTCTTAGTTAGGGTTTCTATTGCTGTGAAGAGACATCATGAGCATGGCAACTCTTTTTTGTTTGTTTGTTTGTTTTGTTTTGTTTTGTTTTTCGAGACCAGGTTTCCCTCTGCAACAGTCCTAGCTGTCCTGGAACTAGCTCTGTAGACCAGGCTGGCCTCAAACTCACAAGGATTCACCTGCCTCTGCCTCCCAAGTGCTGGGATTAAAGATGCATACCACAACTGCCTGGCAACCATGACAACTCTTATAAAGGGAAACATTTATTTTGAACTGGCTCACTTGCAGCTCAGAGGTTCAGTCCATATCATGGCGGGGAGCACGGCAACTTGTAGGCAGACATGATGCTTGCAAAGTAGCTGAGAGTCCTACATCTTGTAGGCAACAGAAAATCGTCTGTCACACTGAGGGAAGCTTGAGTAAAAGAGACTCAAAGCTCCCACAGTGACACACTTCTTCCAACAAGGACATACCTACTCCAACAAAGCCACACCTCCTAATAGTGCCACTCCCTATGACCTTATGGGGACACTTATGTTATGGGATTATGTTTTTCTACACTGTAAAGATTTGTCACTCATATTAGTTTAATAAAACGCCAATTGGCAGTAGTTAGGCATTAAGTATAGGTGGGGCAACCAGACTAGGAGAATTCTGAGAAGAGGAAAGGCAGAGAGACACAGTTGTCATCGAGAAGCAGAGGAAGCAAGATATGAGAATGCCTCACTGAGAAAAGGTACTAAGCCACATGGCTAAACATAGACAAAAATTATGGATTAATTTAAGTTGTAAAAACTAGTTAATAATAAGTCTGAGCTAATAGGTCAAACAGTTTACAATTTATATAAGCACCTGTGTGTTTCTTTGGGCCTGAATGGCTATGGGACGGACACACACACAGAGAAACTTCTGTCTACACAATTGCATTCAAACTGTCACAGAGGTGGAAGCAGTAGACACAGCAATGCCAGTCAGTAGAAACAGAATGGCCCTCAAGACGAGTGAAGGCAGCCTGGGCTCTCTCCTCATCTAAGTAGGTTCTCCGGCCCCTTTTCTGCCATGGCCTGAATTCTGAGGTATTTTTCTGAGATCTGGATAGTCCATCACTATTCCCTGTCTCTCCCCTCCCCTTCAACCCTCTTCTAAAGTCCCCATGCTCCCAATTTACTCAGGAGATCTTGTCTTTCTCTAGATTTTTTTCTACTTTTTCTAGATTAGATCCATGTATGTCTCTAACAATATAGTTTTAAAATAATAAAGTCATTGAAAAGTGAGCAAAGTGATATTTTAAAAAGACAGATGTAAAATAAGCAGAGTCTGCATCCTGTAAATTATGTTCTACTTAAAATTTCTGGCTGCACCAGGCAGTGTTGGTGCACACCTTTAATCCCAGCACTCAAGAGGCAGAGGCAGGCGGATCTCTGTGAGTTCAAGGTCAACCTGGTCTACGGAGTGAGTTCCGGGACAGCAGGACAGGCTCCAAAGCTACACAGAGAAACTTTGGCTTGAAAAACCAAGAATAGAAAAAAAATTTTTTTTTATTTTTTGGCTGCTAAGAGAAACTGGTTTTCCCAATGGAAGTCTAACGATTCTGCTTAAATACCAGTGTAACAATTCTGCTCCACTAAAGTAAGGTTTCCCCAGGGAAAGGGTTATGGTTCTACTTCATTCCCAAAAGTTGTTACAGCTGGGCTTCCCTCCCTCTGTGAAAATGTCACACCACACAACAAACCTCACTCAAGACATTTACTGGGAGGGAAGAATCCAGGAGGGTGGCTGCCTTGGGAGAGAAACAGCAGCAAATGGGACAGGGTACAGCCTTTATAGGATTTTTTTGGGGGTGGGGGGGCGGTGGAGCTTTCCAGGGTGTCTTGGGATTGGGGGGCTTTTATAGCCTGACTCTGGGGTGAGCTCAGGGATTGGTGGGAATTCAAGCCCTGTTCCTGGGATCAAGTCACGGGCAGGGTGTTTTTCCTTGGCCCTTTTACTGTACACTGCCGCACTGTGAGCACCGTAATGAAAATCCCTGAGAAGTGTGACGACGACGACCTTGTCACCTCTCTGGCTTTGTCCCTTTAACATATTGCTGAGGCTGGCGGTGGCTGTGGTGTCACTCCGTGACTCTGCCCTGGGTCACTGAAGGGAGAAAAATCTCCCCAGTAACATTATTGGTAGAGATGAAATCATCCCGTCTTGAATGGCTCACCATAGCTTCCTAAAGTGAAGCTGTCCTCGGGTGCGCACACCTTTAATCTCAGCACTCGGGAAGCAGAGGCAGGTGGATCTCTGTGAGTTTGAGACCAGCCTGGTCTACAAGAGCTAGTTCCAGGACAGGCTCCAAAGCTACAGAGAAACTCTTCAAAAACCAAAAACCAAAAAAAAAAAAAAAAAGAAACTAGCTTCTAATGTTTGTCAGAGCATTGGTTTGGAAGCAATGTAGCTAAAACTTCAATAGAAAGTGACAGCCTGCGTCCAGAAAACGGTCAAGGAAAAGTGTGGAGCACCAGCGGTGCTGTGGGGTCAGGCTCTAGGGAAAATGTGGAGAGGTGCACCATTTGGTGTGACAGCTGGGGGCAAGGTTCTTCCCCTAGATTATAACAGCACAAACAGCTGGGGCTGGTGGCGCACGCCATTAATTCTCCATTCAGGAAGCAGAGGCAGGAGGATCTCTGTGAATTCAAGGCTAGCTTGGTCTACATAGTGAATTCCAGAACAACCAGGGTTATATAGAGAGTCCCTGTTCAAAGCACATACATACATGCACAAATACATACATTCCTACATGCATGCATACATACATGCATGCACAAAAGCAGTTGTAGCCATCAAGCATCATTCCTTATTTGGAGGTGACATTTCTGGGAGTATGAACACATAGACCTGTTGAAATGAAGTCACGTGGAGCTGCCCCTTCTGAACTATTTCACTGTGTGAATAGATCAAACTGAGGAAATCTAAACTCAAGGAAAATAAGAAACTCAATCTCTTACATTGGTGGTGGATCAAGCACCTCCCTTCCCTGAACTCAGAGATCCACCTGCCTCTGCCTCCTGAGTGCTGGGATTAAAGGTGTGTGCCACTACTGCCTGGCTTTGTTGTTCTTAAAGACAGGAACTAGATTGGTCTCAAACTCCCTATGTAGCAGACAGAGATAGGCCCTGAATTCCCAATCTGCCTCCCTCCACCCCCAGATGGTTGTGTGTGAGAGACCTTCCTTGGATTTATTGTTCTGTAATATTTATTTTGTATATGTGTATATCATGTATACAGTAACCTTGGAAGTCAGAAGGCTGATTCCCTGGTATTAGAGTTAGAGACAGATGTTAGCTGTCGCGTCCACCCTTGTCCCGCAAGGAAAAACGCAACACCCGGAGCTCTTCTTGCAGCAGTTTTCAGGACTTTATTCACAATAATTTTTCTCCTTCTCCTTCTCTTTCCCTCTCTCTACCCTCCCTCTCTACCCTCTCTCTCCTCTCTCCCAGCCCTTAAGTAGGCATGGGCTGCCAATCCTGGATCGCCAGGTGGGCATTGCCCATAGGCCCATGCATATGCAGGCAGCTGATGATCATTGCGTTATCATAGCATAGGTCAGGCCTTAGCCATCTCAGGAGTTGATTATACATCTCCATCAGGTGTGACACCAGGCAGCTCGCTACAATTAGCACCATGTAAGTTTTGGGAATTGAACTTGGGTCCTCTGAAAGAGCAGTAGTCAGTGCTCTTAACTGGTGACTGTTGAGCTATCTCTCCAGGGCCTCTTTGCTTTTTTGCCTTAAATTTAATTAGTTGTTTCTATCTATCTATCTATCTATCTATCTATCTATCTATCTATCTATCTATCTATCTATCTATCTATCTATCTATCTATTCAGAGTTTTTCTATGTGGCCCTGGCTGTCCTGAACTCTCTGTGTAAACCAGACTGCTCCTGCACACTTCCTCTGCTTCCTGAGTGCTGGGATTAAAGGCGTGCGGCACTAGGACAAAATTTAGGCAGGATCTTGTCATGCAGCACAGCCCTCAAACTCAAGATCCCCCTGCATCCCAGGTGTGGAGATTCCAAGCACGAGCCACTTGTTTGTTCCTGCTGTTTCAGTTTGGTTCGTTTTCTGACAGTTCTGAGAACTGAGTCCAGGGCCTTATGCATGCTAGATGTGTACTCTAGACGCGTGCTCCAGATGTGCGTTCTAGATGTGCGTTCTAGATGTGTGCTCCAGACGTGCGTTCTAGATGTGTGCTCCAGATGTGTGCTCCAGATGCGTGCTCCAGACGTGTGCTCTAGACGCGTACTCTAGACATCTGCTCCAGACGTGCATTCTAGATGTGTGCTCCAGATGTGTGCTCCAGACGCGTACTCTAGACATCTGCTCCAGATGTGCGTTCTAGACGTGTGCTCCAGATGCGTGCTCTAGATGTGTGCTTTTCCTGTCCTTGGTTCACCTTTCAGACGAGGTCTTCTATGTCACTCAGGCTGGACTCTTCCTCTGTCACCAGTCTGTCCCTCAAGCGTTGTTAGTCACCAAGCCAGGCCCTCCCTCCCTTGGAAGGATGCATCTCAGGCTCTGTCCCCTTCAACAACCCAGCATGCTTGG